TTACAGAATCAACGCAATCCCCATCAAGCTACCATCGACTTTCTTCACAGAACTGGAAAAAACCACCATGAACTTCATATGGAACCAAAAGGGAGCCCACATAGGCAAGTCAATTCTAAGCAAAAAGAACACAGCGGGGGGTATCACACTACCGGATTTCAAACTATACTACAAGGCTACAGTAATCAAAACATCATGGTACTGGTGCCAAAACAGAGATATAGACCAATGGAACAAAACAGAGGCATTGGAGGCAACACAATATATCTAAAACCATACAATCTTTGATAAACCTGACAAAAACAAGCAAGGGGGAAAGGATTCCCTGTTTAACAAATGGTGTTGGGAAAACTGGCTAGCCATGTGCAGAAAGCAGAAACTGGACCCCTTCCTGACACCTTACACTAAAATTAACTCCAGATGGATTAAAGACTTAAACATAAGACCTGGCACCATAAAAACCCTAGAAGGAAATCTAGGCAAAACCATCCAGGACATAGGAGTAGGCAAGGACTTCATGAACAAAACACCAAAAGCATTGGCAACAAAAGCCAAAATAGACAAATGGGACCTAATCAAACTCCACAGCTTCTGCAGGGCAATAGAAACAGTCACTAGAGTGAATTGGCAACCAACAGAATGGGAAAAGATTTTTGCAGTTTACCCATCTGACAAAGGGCTGATATCCATAATTTACAAAGAACTCAAACAGATTTACAGGAAAAAAACAAACAAGCCCATTCAAAATTGGGCAAAGGATATGAACAAACACTTTATGAAAGAAGACATAGATGAGGCCAACAATCATATGAAAAAATGCTCATCGTCACTGGTCATTAGAGAGATGCAAATCAAAACCACATTGAGATACCATCTCACGCCAGTTAGAATGGCGATCAGTAAAAAATCTGGAGACAACAGATGCTGGAGAGGATGTGGAGAAAAAGGAACACTTTTACATTGTTGTTGGAAGTGTAAATTAGTTCAACCATTGTGGAAGACAGTGTGGCGATTCCTCAAGGCCTTAGAAATAGAAATTCCATTTGACCCAGCAATCCCATTACTGGGTATATATCCAAAGGACTATAAATCGTTCTACTATAAGGACACATGCATACGAATGTTCATTGCAGCACTGTTTACAATAGCAAAGACCTGGAATCAACCCAAATGCTCATTGATGATAGACTGGATTGGGAAAATGTGGCACATGTACACCATGGAATATTATGCAGCAATCAGAAATGATGAGTTCGTGTCGTTTGTAGGGACATGGATGGATCTGGAGAACATCATTCTCAGCAAACTGACACAAGAACAGAAAATGGAATACTGCATATTCTCACTCATAGGCGGGTGATGAAAAATGAGAACACATGGACACAGGGAGGGGAGTACTAAACACTGGGGTCTATTGGGGGTAAAAGGGGAGGGCCAGTGGCGGGAGGGGGAGCTGCGGAGGGATAGCCTGGGTAGAAATGCCAAATGTGGGTGAAGGGGAGAAAGGAAGCAAAACACAGTGCCATGTGTGTACCTATGCAACTGTCTTGCATGTTCTGCACATGTACCCCAAAACCTAAAATGCAATAAAAAATTTTTTAAAAATAAAAATAAATAAATAAATAAATATTATTCAAATAAATAAGATTTGTAAATATATATATACACATTGTTTACTTTTTATTTCATTTCATGGCTAGTGCCATCAGTGGATTTTCCTGTTCCTTAATGGTTTATCTTACTATTTGGTTTACAGATATCCTTACTATTCTTAAAATTATAGACGGAAATGCTTATATAAAGTGAGGTTAGGATGACAGAAGGATATTAGTCCCTAAACAGACTTCAAAACCCCAACCCCAGTAAACTGCCTCACAGAAATGTGTGTTTCCTCACATAACAAATGTTTACATTTTGTTTCATTAGACACTAACTCTAGAAAATTCTGTATAACCTTTGGAGCATAGAAGTTTATGTATGTATGTCATGTGTCAATGGTTCTACACAGTCCTTTAAAAAGACATGAATAGTTTGATTCATCTGTATTTGCCAGGATTACTATAAATATATTTCAAAATATATACCCTACTGTCATAAACCCTTAAGTTAGCTGTATTATTTCTAGATACTAAAAAGAACACATTTTAGAAATTATGTGAGAGAAAGACAGACATTACAGAGCTTATAAGAACCAAAATGTTTGTATCATAGGAACATTTATGACTTAATTTCTCTGTGCCTCAGCCTTCCTCAGCTGTAATGGAAATAATTACTACCTCATTGGATTGTTGTGAGAATTAATGAGATAATACATGTAAAGCACTCTGAATAGTACCTAACACATATTAATCCTCAATAAATGCTATCTGTTACTGTTACTGATCCATTAATAGAATGCATTGATTCTTAATATAATTATTCATAAGAAAAGTCTACATCAAATTATAACCTTAAAAAGAGCTAAACATGCACACGTATGTTTACTGCAGCACTGTTCACAATAGCAAAGACTTAGAACCAACCCAAATGCCCATCAGTGATAGACCGGCTAAAGAAAATGTGGCACATATACACTATGGAAAACTGTACAGCCATAAAAAAAGGATGAGTTCAGAGTTCATGTCCTTTGCAGGGACATGGATGAAGTTGGAAACCATCATACTCAGCAAACTAAAACAGGAACAGAAAACCAAACACTGCATGTTCTCACTCATAAGTGGGAGTTGAACAGTGAGAACACATGGACACAGGGAGGGGAATATCACACACCGGGGCCTGTTCAGGGGTGGGGAGCTAGGGGAGGGATAGCATTAAGAGAAATACCTAATGTAGATGATGGGTTGATGGGTGCAGCAAACAACCATGTCACGTGTATACTTATGGAACAAACCTGCACATTATACATATGTATCCCAGAACTTAAAGTATTTTTAAAAAATGAATAGCTGAGAGGATGTGAGAAATGAGATCTCAATTGTGAAATTAGTTATATTTTACTGATATTTATCGAATAAAATATGTACTTTCAAGACACTATCCTCCTTCACAAGACAGAGTTTAAGACGATAACAAAGTCCATAGTCTTAATATTTATGGGCAATACTTGAGATTTTTTATCTAAAAAGTCTTTTGTTCAGTCATTGGGACTGAGGACTCTAGATTCCTAATCCATTTGTCACAGGTAAACTTTTTTTTTTTTTTGGAGATGGAGTCTCACTTTGTTATTAGTCTGGAGTGCAGTGGCATGATCTTGGCTCACTGCAACCTCTGCCTCCAGGGATCAAGTGATTCTCCTGCCTCAGCCTCCCGAGTAGCTGAAACTACAGGCATGTGCCACCACACTTAGCTAATTTTTGTATTTTTATTTGATGGGGTTTCACCATGTTGGCCAGGATGGTCTTGATCTCTTGACCTCATGATCCGCCCACCTCGGCCTCCCTAAGTGCTGGGATTATAGGCATGAGCCACCACGCTCAGCTGGGTGAACTTTTTTTAAAGTGTCTTTCTAGAACCATGGCTAGAACTGGTGTCTCCCTGCTTACCTGACCTGTCTAGGATGCACTTCTTTTTTAAATTTAACTTTTATGGGTATAAGTAGATGTATATATTTATGGGATACGTGAGATATTTTAACCCAGGCATTCAGTGCATAATTACATTAGGGTAAATAGAATATCTATCACCTCAAGTATTTATCATTTCTTTGTGTTACTGACATTCCAATTATACTATTTTAGTTATTTTTAAATGTACACTAAATTACTGTTGACTGTGGTCAAAAAAATAAATAAATGAAAATAAAAAGAGCTAAAATAGACCCAGAAATCATATGCTTGGCAGGCCTTGGAAAAGATAACTCATATTAATTAACCATATAAAGTACATGATAGTATTGTAAATGTTCTAAACAAGGTTTACATCATATTTTCAAAATAGTCTATCTTATAAGATACTAGAAAATTCCCAAAGACCTTTAGATCACAAAAGTTTACTGATGATATACGATTGGCATCAGTATTCTTCACAGTCCATTTAAAAAACATGAATAGTTACTAGAAAAAATTATTGTCATAGAGAAATCCCAATGAGATGTGACTAATTCTTCAAAATACTCTGTGCACATTAATTGTATTCTTTCTGAAGATATTAAAATGTTAATTTATTTTGTATTTAAATGTTAATTTAAATATCTTCAGAAGTAAAAGTAATTTACTTAATACTGGGATGTGATGTGTGTTATTAAAAAGTTCTATTTATGAATCAAAAGCACATTAAAAGTTGCTACATTTTCAATGTGTGATTCTGTTTCTCTTGACTTGCTTTATAGCAGCAGTTTCAAAATATTGTTCAGAGAGGCCACAAGGTCACACCTACTTTTATAATTTTAGTTAAGACATTGTCTGCCTTTTCACTCTCATTCTCTCTCATGTGTGCAATGTTGTTTTCCAGAGGCTATATGATATGTGACAGCACAACAGGTTGAATACAGAAGCAGATATCAAAATCTAGCTTCTATTCAGCCAGACATTAAGGAAATTTGCAAAAGTATTTTTAAAATGCCACTCTTCTAAAAAAATTTTAGTTTTGGAGAATATACTTATTTCTCATGAAAAATATTGTTGAGGTTAACCAGTAATTATTTTGAAGAGATTAATAAGTAAATGTTTTTAAATTTTCTGTTTTCATTTCTAATATGATAGAAATGAAGTTTTATAGAAAGAATCTATTATAAGCAAAAGTTCTTTCTTTTAATTGTGGTTAAAAGCATCCTAAGACCAAACTGTTTGACAACCACGGTCCTTTTGGATATACCATTCTGTTCACTCTCCTTCCACTTTCATGGCAAATTCTTGGCTCTTTAATATATTGTGTGCTTATTTATCATTTATGCCCTAAAAGTTGCAATTTTATTTTTATCAAAATTATTATCCAAAGCGTTTATTAGATATTAACCATTTTTATTGTAGACCCAATTGATGATTAAATGTCTTAATTTACAGGTTGCAAACACAAAAAAACAATGTCATATACAAATTTCTCGATTAGCAGAAGAACTTTCAGCCCTCCAAATGGTATGTTTGACTATATTGATATTGTCTTCCAAATATTGCTTATTTTAAAGGCCAGGATACATACTACTGGGGATTCATTCATTCAAAAGATACTTTTTAAACCAAGCCCTGGCTAGGTGCTAGGAAAAAAGTGAAAATCCAGATAGACATGTTTGCAGCAGTCTTGTGGCTTATGTTCTAGCTGGAAAGATAGATAGTATTTATCACATTTTACTGTAAAGTTGTGTCTGTGACAGGGAATACACAGGGTGCTATTGCTTGCATTAGCTCCTATCATATGCTGGGTTTATCTGGTAAACCAAGGAGAAAGAGAAAGTATATATGACAGTGGGAAAGAAGAAAGAAAGCTTCCTAAAAGAAATGAATACTGAGGTATGAGTAGGCCAAGAGGGGAAAGGAAAAGAATACTTGTGTGTCTAGAGGTGGGACTGGAAATATAAGTTTAACTTGAAGATTTGATGTAATGAAATTTAATAAACTTTCTTATAGGAAAATAAAACTATAACAATTTTCAGGAATTGAGAAAATATTTATAACTTTACAAACTCTGATCTTTTCTGACTCCCTGTATTACTTTTAATCTCTATTACAAAATTTAGCAATGAATTATATCTTGTAATAAATATCATGCATTAGGTGTATGTTGAACATACATACTCTGTCTCTCTCCTTGGAAATCTTATTTCTGCAATTAGATTGTAGCATCTCAACACAGTAGAGTCTTACACCTTTCTTTATTTTCCTTGTTGCTTGCCTGGGACAGTGTTTTGCACAGTATATTTTTAAATGTGTATCAACTGAACAATACATTTAAACACTCTGAAAGAGGGATCACATTTTCTCTCTCTATTCTACAAACTTTGGAGATCACATGATGGGATCTTAATCATTGTGTATTATTGGTCCCAAATGGAATAGAACAAGGAACATTTATTTTGTTTTTGTTTGTTTAATGTCACTTCTTTTAATAATGTAGGAACGTCAACTGAAATTAATGGGATGCAATGTGGCCAATTAGTCATGTGTAATTTTTTGTTGCTACATATTTTGCTTCCTTTTCTATCACCCAGTTATTTTGCTTGTTCTCTTTCATGGGCCGAATAGCTATCAAGAGATCTATATTTTTGTGGTAAAAGAGGAGTAGAAGGGTACTACCCTAGTCCAAGATCATTTAATGGATTGCAAACCTGCAAGGACAAGAACATTCATTCCTTCTATATTCTCAAAGGAGCAAGGACTAGCTAAGACCTGCATGGATTTTTTCAAATCATTGTTAGCTGTATAACAACCAGAGCTATATTAAACTCACTTTAGAGTAAAAAGAATGACAATTTCCATTATTGCAAAAAGTGTTTCTTATAGTAAAACAATTCTACTTCACAGCTAACTGATTTTTCTACAGATATGAAACATCTGATGGTCATGTTGATTCTATGGGGAGAACTATACTGTCTAATTGAAAAGTTTCAAATATTAAGTATGTTAAAAATGCATTCGAAGGAAAACATCTTTGGCTACTTTAAGACAGATTTTCTGCCAGGCGCAGTGACTCAAGCCTATAATCCCAGCACTTTGGGAGGCCGAGGCAGGTGGATCACGAGGTCAACAGATCGAGACCATCCTGGTCAACATGGTGAAACCCCGTCTCTACTAATAATAAAAAAATTAGCTGGGCATGGTGGTGTGTGCCTATAATCCCAGCTACTCAGGAGGCTGAGGCAGGAGAATTGCCTGAACCCAGGAGGCGGAGGTTACGGTGAGCCGAGATTGTGCCGTTGCACTCCAGTCTGGGTAGCAAGAGTAAAACTCCGTCTTTAAAAAAAGACAGATTTTCTTAGAAAATCTAAGCTACAGTTTGAAGCATAATAACCTGATGCTTGCTATTGTTTTCTATTAACTAACAATTTTACTATCTATACCAATAGTAATTAGTATCACTGTACTATCCATCTATACTACTATTTACACTATGAAGTTCAGGAAGGAAGTTAAGCATACTTTTGCTAATCCAAAATTAAGGTATGCTCACAGGAGGGAGAAAAACTTGCATTTTAGATGAGTGTGCAGATTAATAGATTAAGAAAAAGCCAGAGCCATTGTATTTCAAGCTACATATTTCCCTCTAGAGACCAACACATACCTAACAGACTTTGTTTTCTCTAGTAAGGTATGATTGATCTTAAGAATATTCAAGGTTTTATTCTGCCATGTGGCAGATTGCTATTAATCTATAGCAAATAATTAAGATTAATTATGAAATGTTCAAACTTATAGAAGTAAAATAAAATGTTCATTGTGATCTTTTCTTTGATGCATGAATTTTTGAAGTCTTTTTTTTTTAGTTTCTAAATAAATGACGATTTACACTGTCTTTTATTGTTGATTTCTCATTTGGTTAGGGAGGCAGCACAGATCATGGTCTATATGATATTGGTTCTTCTTTTTTTTTTTTTGAGATAGAGTCTTGCTCTGTCACCCAGGCTGGAGTGCGGTGGTGTGATCTGAAGCTCACTGCAGGCTCTGCCTCCCGAGTTCCAGCGATACTCCTGCCTCAGCCTCCCAGGTTAGCTGAGATTACAAGCACACACCTCTACACCCAGCCAATTTTTGTATTTTTAGTAGAGACAGGGTTTCACCATGTTGACCAGGCTGGTCTCGAACTCCTGATCTCAGGTGATCTGCCCGCCTCAGCCTCCCAAAGTGCTAGGATTACAGGCGTGAGCCACCGTGCCCCGTGGGTATTGGTTCTTAATATGTGCTGAGACTTCTTTTGTAAAGTATGATTTTGGAAATACTCCATGAGTACCTGAAATAATATCTATTTTTTGTCATATTTTCCCCCAAAGGTAGGCATGACAGGGGTGATAAGCAAAATATCTCTAAAAACTTTTTCAAAGTAATTTTTAATGTCTGTTTTAGTATTATAGTGCATTTCTAATAGAATTAGTATGGTAATTCTCTCTAAAGATTTAAACTTTGCTGTCTCAGTTCACCTTTTTTACCCTCAGGTTAACCAGATATTCTTTCAGCCATCATCATTTGTCAGTGAAATGGTGGATTGGGTGCAGAGGAGTGTGAAGCATACTTACACATGCGTTTCTTTATATATCACTTGCCAGTTCCAGAAGTGTGAGCCACACTTTGTTATTAACACATATATTAAAACTCACATGGGAGAAGTTACAAATGTAGGTAAATTGCAGATTTAGCACGGAAACTACCCTCTCCTAAACAACTTACTGTATCATATTTGGAATATTAATGTTGCATTTTGTATACACTCAGGGTTCTAAATAAAAGATATTAAATTTACATTTGTCAACTGATTTGTAACATAGGGTTAAAGATCTTCATTATAATCAATGGTGATAATTTTAGGTCACAATTTAGAAGCTTACTTTAAAATTTAAAAACATATTAAAATACACTTATTCTATAAAATATAGATAATTGAACATCATTATTAAGCAGTACACTGTTAGCAAAGCGGGTTCCTCCAAAGCATGATTCACAATTGGTAAAAATAGAAAGGAAAAAAAAAAAAACCATACCCATTACCCATTCTCCAAAATCAATATATAATTAGAAATAATTGTGAAGAACTAATAATTATGATGGTTTTTTGTTTTAGTTGCATTAGTAAAATGTTAAATTTTATTATCTAATTTATATGCTTGCTAAATACTGATTAAAATCTTTTGAACAGAAATACTCATGTTTATGGTAGTAAAATATGTTTAGTATTTCTGTTGGCTGTAATGTTTTCAAAGAAAAAAAGTTAACTCTTTTAGAATTTATACACCCACACATCTTTTAGACCATAGGTAATCCCGGAGGGTTTTATGCCACTATCTGGTTCTGTTGGTATATAAAAAGAAAATCTATAGTATGAGAAAGGGGTTCTATTATTTTTTTATTTGTAATTCCCCAACCTCTGTCTCCCTCATAGTCTGTTTAGTTAGAACTCCTTAGCATCCTACAGCTGGAGGCAATTTCTGAAATCCTGGGTTAGGTTGCTCTTCAAAGATTGAGTTTTGTTTTGTTTTTAATTAATATAACCTTATTTGTTTTGATAAGATAACTACGATATTCCCATTATGGATACATTATTTTACTTCTTTATTTTCCCCACTTTTCTTAAGATGTTACCAAGTGTATTTATTTACAATATGACTTACAATTTATTTACAAAATTTATTTACAATATTTATAGGAGTGTGCTGAAAAACAAGGCCAAATCGAACGAGTCATTAAGGAAAAAAAAGCAGTGGAAGAAGAACTAGAAAAGGTAAAAAGAAAAAGGAAATGTAACTACCTAAAACACAACTGCAAATGTTCAACATTACTGTCTGTTTTCATCATGTCATCTACTAGCAATTCCTTTATTTGTTACTATTGTCTTGGTAAGTTTTTATTCTCTTAAATATATTCAGAGTCTGCAGTTAAATACTGATGTTGCTCGATACAACTCTTTCCCAAGAGCGGCCGTATTCTTTGAACTTTATACTTAAAGATATAAATTTTGTGAAGTAGCTGTATTTCTTGCTTAAACCTCATCTTACTAAATTTTACTTTGTCTTTATTTTCTTTTTGAATTTTATGTTAGCTCTTATTGGGCTTAGGCTATCTATTTATAAAACAAGTATATGTAAACAGAAAATTATAACATTGCTATGATTTTTACCTTTTAGAAGTACAGATTTTTACTTCATACTTAGGAAGAATATTTACCCACATGTTATTTGAGAAAAACTGTTGGGAGAAGTTCATGGTTTAAATTTCATTTCTTTCATATACTTTTTTATTAGCAGTAATATTGTACTCTTTTAAAGTACCTTGGGAAAAGAAAGGGAGACCAAATTTGGTTGAGCATTTACTGTGTTTTAGGTGCTGCATTAACAACTTTCATAGAGGTTAAGTATCTTACCCAATGTTAAAAAGTGGTAAATGCTAATCAGAATTTGATTTTTGAAGAAGAGCTATGTAGCATAAAAATTATGGTCTCTATCTATATTATCAACATGAAAAAATTATGACATCAGTAAAAGAGTAATACAAAAAGCAAAACATAATATACAATTCCATTTGTGAAAAAAAAAATACATGTGTTCAAAGTAGGACTTAATGGTTACCACTCTCCTGCAAGGTAGATCCCTTGTGAGTTTTCCTCTGCATATCATATAGTTACCATTTAGATTGCCACCTGTTATACATCAGGGTTTGGGATGTATGTTTTAATATCACATGGCAAAGGTTAAGGAAAAGGCTTATTAGGGAAATGTAAAACTTACGAGGCAAAAGACAACAGGGAAAGGGAAAGCACAACACTTTGTTCTCCCACTGTTCTATGACCAGTGTGCCAAGGTGAAAGTACTGCTGGGTCTGCAGTGTAGATCTGTATTCTAGTAGTGGAACTTTGACATACTGATACTCCATGTTTTTATAGAGAAAAAGTGACAAAGCAGTCCTTTGTCACTTCCCCGAGTAACCTGGGGAAGACACAGGTTACTTGACCAGGCAGTCTGAATTTTGAGGGTTGCTGTGTCTTGGATTTGCCTCAAAGTGTGAGCTGCTTAGCACCTGGAGACCTTGGATCTCTTAGGATGTTCCAGACCCTGTGCTGTGAGAGGGAGCCCCATCGCATGGAAAGCTGAGCTTGGGTACAGCTGCTCCTGCTGAGGAAGGGGGATGCCCCATCCAACCTAGATCATTGTCCCGGTAACCCAGTGAGATTCAGGAGTCACTTTCAGAGAGTTCTAGTTATTGTACCACAGCATGTATCTTAATTTTTGAGTATTGGAATAAAGGATTATACTGAATGATATTCATCAAGAAATCACCAGTGTAACCACTCCAAGTTGACATTTAGAGTATTTTTTTAACTTTGCTTTACATTTTTGTATTATTTGCATAGTTTACCATGAGCATGAATAATTCCAAAAAAAAAATAAACTCTGTTTTTTAAGAGACAATGTCTTGCTCTGTTGCCCAGACTGGGGTGCAGTGGACATGATCATAGCTCACTGCAGCCTTGATCTCTTGGGCTCGAGGATCCTCCTACCTGAGCCTCACTGATAGCTGAGACTACAGGTGTGAGCCACCATGCCCAGCTAATTTTTTAATAATATTTTCTTTAGATGATGGGGTCTTGCTCAGGCTGGTCTCAAAACAATTATTATTTTATGTATCAGTTTTTAACATTTTATTTGTAAATGTGAAAGAATCAGATTTAATTATTGATATTTTTCATATGTTACAGTAGGAGCAAATGAACACATGATCATGGCTTTTTATTCCATTGATTTCTGTCTCTGTTTAATTTTAAGACAGTTTTTTCTGTAATGTTATATACATAATAAGCCTCTTCTGCAGATTTACCATGAAGGCAGAGGAAATGAAAGTGATTACAGAAAACTAGAAGAAATGCACCAAAGATTCCTGGTTGCAGAGCGTTCAAAAGATGATCTTCAGCTAAGACTTACGAGAGCAGAAAATAGAATAAAACAACTTGAAATTGAGTAAGTTTTTCTTTTGGATTTTCTGTGGTAACATCTTCAGAATTCACACAATATTGGACAGATTCTCTACATTTAGGACCAAATATAAGTTCATTCAAGATTATTTCTGAAAACTAATTTCTGCAGGAAGAAAAGATTTAACAGCGGTATACCATTTTCTTTTCAATGTATTCTTTCTGACAGTTAAATAGGATGTTTATAATATTGTTTTCTTTGTACTAATTGTACAGCTATTATAGTAGCTTACTTATATTCTTTTATACTACCTATACTTAATATATTTCTTGAATATTCTATAATGATCCATAATATATATTTGATTATCCATAAACATGATAAAGTTAGAACTTGACATATCCATTCTGAATATTTTTCTACCTTCCCACCCTGGCAATATTACCTAATACAGCAAAATTTTCTTACTTGAATTGCCTGAAGTCTCAATCTCTGTATGTGTTCAAAAGATATTTTTAAAATAAATACTAATACCTAAGTTACTTAATACAGTGTTTTTTTCAAAAAGAGATCCTGCAAATTTCTTTAAAAAATATATTTATAATTTCCAATAATTATTCAGATAATCTGCTCATATGGTTACTTCCAGATGAAACATGCAGGAGAAGCTGGTTTATTCCAGCATAAATCTTCTTGTACGTAGTAAGAGAAGTATCACACATGAAGGCTTTTCCCAATACCATATATTCACAGGGTTTCTCTCTAATGCGCATACACATATGTCTCTTAAGGGAGGCATACTGAATAAAAGCATTCCTGCATTTGTTTTAATTCACATGGTCTCTCTGCATTATGAGTATTTTGTGTGTGTACAGTAAAAGCATAAATCAGTGAAACCCCCTCTATGTTCCCTATATTCATAAAGTTTTTCTCCAGGGTGAACTCTCCCATATTTCCTAAAGCGTGTAAACATAGAATAAAGTACGAGGACTGGGTGTAAGACCTCCCATGTTCCTTACTTTCAAAAAGCTTCTCTCCAGGATAAATTTTGAAGGTTGAGTGAAGGATAAGGATTAGCCCATCTTCTTTAGATTTACAGGGCTTCTTTCCAATTAAGAGGTTTTTTTTTCTTCATTAAGTAATTGAGAAATGATTAAAGGCTCCCATGCATTCTTTTTATAAGGAGAGTTCTTCTCCTCAGTATGAATTCTTACACATTCATCAACACATGAGGAATTAATGAAGGCTTTCCCACATTCTCCACATAGAGTTTTTCTCCTAAGTTTTCACATATGTGCTTTACGGTATATTTGATGAATGTTTTCTTAGACTGCATTTAAAGGGTTTCTCTTGAGTGTGAGTTTTGTCCACTTCTAATTTCAGGAATGCTTGGAGTGAGTAGTCTTGCATCTCCTTTAATCTCTGGGAATCCCTTTTTCTGTATTTTTTTCTTGCAAATAACTGTTTAAAACTGAGTTCTTTGTAAGGTAGAGTTTCTTCCACTACATACCTAAATATTGATGCTATTTACTCTGTCTCATGTAGTTCCTAAAAACTAGTAATTAGACCCAGAGGCTTGATCTAGTCTAGCTTTCTTTTGTTGTTGTTGTTGTTGTTTTTGGAAGAATTCTTCATGGATGATGACATTGTGGACTTCTCTTAGGAGGCTTACAATGTGTGGTTGTTTCTGGTCTCAGCATCTTTCTGATGTTAGCATCCTTTTATTATCATTGCCTAGATACATCTTTTTATTAGGAACTTTATCAGCAAGGTTTAGGCAGGAAAAAGACTATAAGTATTGTGGGAATAAAGGGTTTAATGTAGGAAACAGAATTTACAAGAGTATGGGAGGAGCAGGGAAAGCAAAGATCTAGAAAAGCAGAGGCAGAGATCAAAGAAAATTACTAACTGTGTTCACCCAAAGCACTAGCAGATATGGCAGGTCAGAATGCCAAAATAGGACCATAAAAGAGTGGTTCATAGTGATGAAACTACCACCATGTGAAAGTTGCTTCTTTAAGATTTTTTTCTCCTTGCAAAATACTTTTAACTAGTAATTTTCTTAAGCTTTCACAATATTAGTAGCATTTCTATACAATTCCCTGTGAAACCTATTAACCAAGGAATGTTCACAGTGTTTATCTGTTACTGAAAAGATGGAAGTTTTAAAAGATAGGAATAAAAATTAGCAATTTATTGATTGAAGTGACATTAATGTATAGAGGTTGTCTCACCCTGTGATCCATTGTTGAGAAAGTTCAGGAAATATAATCTGTTTAACTTCTTGTAAAACAAGAAGTTTATAGAACTGGAAGTTTATAAAAACTATTTCTAAGATATATAATGGGAAAATATAAAAGTAGCTTTTATAATTTAGTAATATAGTAAGCTATTGTGTTATTCTATAGAGTTTATTCATTAAGTAAAGGAGTTTTGGTTATTATCTACTTCATGCTTTTTATTGTTACCGCAGTTCATTCCCTTGAAGTTCTCCATACACAGTAATTCTTAATGTTAGTACAAATTTGAAAGAACTCTCACATTGATTTTCTAAATAAATAACAGTTCGATTTATCTGTTCTTAGTTAAGATTTGAATATATTTTAGTTGAATATATTTGCCTGGTTTAACATAACGTTTTGAAACCACATAGTTTCGGCCTAAAGTGAAAAGAAATGGCTCAAAATAAAGCAAACAAAAGTCCATGTGATAAAATGTAGACAGACTTTTGTCTTCTAGTATAGATCATTAAGTTTAATCGTTCTTTTTGTTTTGTTTTTTAATCAGCTCCTCAGAAGAAATATCACGTTACCAAGAAAGGATTCAGAAACTGCAAAATGTATTGGAGTCTGAGAGAGAGAACTGTGGACTTGTCAGTGAACAAAGGCTAAAACTTCAGGAAGAAAATAAACAGTTACAGAAAGAGACTGAGAGTTTAAGGAAGATTGCCCTGGAGGCTCAAAAAAAAGCCAAATTAAAGGTATTTTCAAGACTAGAGTTAAATGTGTACTTAGGAAAATCCAAGTATGGAGAATACTTAGACCTAGCAAAACATCTTTAAGGCCCCTCTTTTTTTTTGCCTTCTCATCAGATAGCACTATATCATAATTCAGAGTGTTAACCAGTCATTTCTGTGTTGTAGAACTTGGCAGGCATGCTTGAAAATGATTGCCTTTGCTACACACAAAAAAATTCTTTTCCAACCACAAATATACTTATATTTTCTGCCAAAGCAATTTAAGCAACACTGGCAAATCCATAGATTAGATAACTTTACAGACTGCTTTCCTCTCTTCTTGCTCTATAGTAGCCTTTGAAAAGTTGAACGTCTATAAAACTAACTGTATAGAGGATGTTACAGCAGTTGGCTCTGAGAACCACTCATAGCTAGTCTGAAAATTCCATGGCAGGAAGAAGGCAGGAGGCAAAAATGTCATCTAAAATAAATTCCCTTTCTTTTCTGTCTTCTTTCCTTCTCTTCTGATGCTTATATGGTTTGATAATAGGAAGATGATCATCTTTTTAAGGGAGCATCAAGAAACACAAGTATTTTCATCAACATCTTGCTTACCTTTCCCCATTTCATGAGACTTTTGTAAACAGTGACACTAACTCTCTTTGATAAATATCTACATCTTGCAATTGTGTAGTAAGAATATGAGGAGGTAGTGTTACTGTTTTATTTTGGTTTTTATTGCCGCAAGAACTCCTAAGAAGTCATATTCCAACCTAATTCATGTCAACATATGTTTATTAAATACCTCCTATTACAGGTATGAAACACCCTAGTTATTTGTAAAACCCTGGACTCTGAAATGAAAAAATAAAGAGTCTTATTTAAAAAGAAGTTTGTACTTTGTGCTTTAAACTGTGGGAGTTCTTTGAAGAGCAAGGTTAGGAACCAAACTACCAGATAACAAGACTTGATAAAAAGCTGAAATAATTTAGACAATATGTTATCAACATGAGAATAATCAACTTGATGAATGGCAAAAAATTGAGTTTAGAAACAAACTGATTTGTTATAATCACTTGACTTATAAAAAAGGCACCATTGCAGTTCAGTGGGGGGAAAATTGTCTTCACAAATGGTGCTAGATCAGTCAGATCCATATTTTAAAAATAAAACTTAACTCCAGTATCACAGCATATATGCAAATTAGTTGGAGCTGCCTTGTAGACCTAAATGTGAAATGTGAAATGATAGAGTTTCTAGGAGAAAAATCTTCATGCCTTTGGATTGAAAAATATTTCTTAGAGCACAAAAAACACAAATCATAGTGAAAAATCCAAGCTGAATTGGATTTCACTAAAATTAAGATATTTTTAGTCACCAAAAGATACCATTAAGAAAGGGAAAAGTGGGAGAAAGTATTTGTAATGCATATAACCAAAAAAAGAACTCATATCCAAAATATAAAAACTCTTACCAATTAATAAGAAAAGTATTAATAAGGAAAAAACAGCTAATAGTTAATAATGAAAAAATAGATAATTTTCAGAAAAGGGCTAAAGACTTAAGTAGGCACTTCATAAAATAGCATATATGCAAATATGTTCAGCTTCATTATTTTTCAGGGGAATTTAAATTAAAACTGCAAGATAACACTACACACCACTAGAATGGCTAAAATTAAAAAGACTAAAAATATCAAGTATTTATAAGAATATAAAGCAGTTAGAACTTTGATAGATACTGATAGGAATGTAGCAGTATCTTTTAAAGCTGGACATACATATATCTTGATATGGATTGGCTGTGTCCCTACCCAAATCTCATCTTGAGTTGTAGCTCCCATAATCCCCATGTGTCATGAGAAGGACCTGGTAGGAGGTAACTGAATCGTGGGAGTTGGTTTTCCCATGATTTTATCATGATAGTGAATAAGTCTTACAAAATCTGATGTTTTTCTGTTGTTTTTTTTTTTTTAATTGAGACAGAGTCTTGCTCTGTCTTGCCCAGGCTGGAGTGCAGTGGTGCAATCTTTGCTCATTGCAGCCTCCACCTCCTGGATTCAAGTGACTTTCCTATCTCAGCCTCCCAAGTAGCTGGAACTACAGACATGTGCCACCACAACCAGCTAATTTTGTATTTTTAGCAGAGATGGGGTTTCACCATGTTGGCCAGGCTGGCCTTCAACTCCTGACCTCATGTGATCCACCAGCCTCAGCCTCCCAAAGTGCTGGGATTACAAGTGTGAGCCACTGGGCCTGGCCAATCTGATGGTTCTATAAAGAGCAGTTCTTCTGCAAATGCCCACTTGCCTGCTGCCATGTATGATGTGCCTTTGCCCCTTCTTCACCTTCTGCCATGATTGTGAAACCTTTCCAGCCATGGAAAGGAACTGTGAGTTCCTTAAGCCTCTTTTTCTCACATGGACTGTGAGTTCATTAAGCCTCTTTTTCTTTATAAATTACCCAGTCTTAGGTATTTCTTCATAGCAGTATGATAATGGACTAATACACATCATATGCCAAATAATCATGACTACGTACCCAACAGATATGAGTGCTTATGTGGATGTGGACAAGAATATTCATAGAAGTTGTAGTCAAAACACTAAAAACAATGCAAAGTTCATGAAGTTGAAATTGTATAAATAATTGTCATAAATTGGAATAGAAACAACAATGAAAAATAATGAACTATATAAGCAATAGTGAATGAGTCTCATAGACATGGAGATGAGCAAAAAAGCCAAGCATATACAAGCTTATATTTTATTATTTCACTATATGATAGTAAAGAATAAGCATAATTATCTATGAGGATAGTATCAGAATAACTACCTTTTAGATGAATAAGTACTGATAGAAGGACACATGAGGGAGCCTCCTAGAGTATCTGAATCTATGCGGTTACTTTAGTATGTCAGTATATGTGTAAAAACCCAGCTGATCTTTCAAGACTCACACTGTTCATCATAAGAGAGAAGCAGATAAATATTGGCAGGGGAAAGTAGGCAGGAGTATAGATGAAACCAGAGTGCCTATGAGTTTGATTGTCAAACTATCAATTATGGAAGCTGGGTGATAGGCATAGAGGAATTGTAACATTCTATTTTGTGTGTGCTCAAACGTTCTCATACTAAAACATTTCTATGATAAAAAAAAAAAGGTGTACTTTGGTGAAAAAATGTTCTATCTTCCTCTCATTATAAACTTTATATGATAAATTTCATATGAATTAACAACTTTGATATGTCAATGATTCCGTAAAACATTAGTAGGAAGGCCTGGCGCGGTGGCTCAAGCCTGTAATCCCAGCACTTTGGGAGGCCAAGGTGGGTGGATCACGAGGTCAAGAGATCGAGACCATCCTGGTCAACATGGTGAAACCCCGTCTCTACTAAAAATACAAAAAATTAGCTGGGCATGGTGGCACGTACCTGTAATCCCAGCTACACAGGAGGCTGAGGCAAAAGAATTGCTTGAACCCAGGAGGTGGAGGTTGCAGTGAGCCGAGAGCGTGCCATTGCACTCCAGCCTAGATAACAAGAGTGAAACTCGGTCTCAAAAAAAAAAAAATATATATATATATATATATATATTAGTAGGAAACGTAGATGAATATTTAACAGAAAGAGAAGAACTAAGCAAAAAAAGAAAAATTTCAAATGAAAATACTGATAAATTTAAGTATATGTTTTTAAATATTTAAAACCATTTTTAAAATTTGAAAAAGGAAAAAAAGAAAAGAAAATCACTGGGAGGTAGATAGTTTTCATAAATATGACAAAAGCTCTAAGACCATATCTAAGGAGCTTTTAAAATATAAGAGAAAATGTGGGGCGTAGTGGCTCATGTCTGTAATCCCAGTACTTTGGGAGGCTGAGGCAGACAGATCAAGAGGTAAGGAGTTCGAGACCAACTTGGCCAACATGGTGAAACCCTGTCTCTACTAAAAATACAAAAATTAGCAGGGTGTGGTGGCAGGCACCTGTAATCCCAGCTTGGGAGGCTGAGGCAGGAGAATTGCTCAGGAGGCAGAGTTTGCAGCAAGCCAAGACTGCACCATTGCACTCCATCCTGGGCAACGCAACAAGACTCTGTGTCAAAACACAAACAAAATATATAGAGAGAGCATAAATATATGTTATATATATATATAGAGAGAGAGAGAGAGAAAATATATAGAATATATATAGTTGAGAATATTTATATAAGAAAAATATTTGTAACTCAATAAAAATATTACGTGACAGTTGAACAGAATCTACAAACTAAGCAATTAATTGATAGTGAGTTTAAACTGCTTACTGCCTACTGTTTTTTTTCTAAGTATCTCTGAGTGAGCTAAAAGTATTTACTTTAGAGTCTAAAATTCAGTCACAGGAAAATAATTTAAATATTTCATAATTAAATAAGTGTATTGTAGCATTATTTATAATAAATTAGAAACAACCTAAAAATCTAGAAGTAAACAATTATGTTACATCTATGTATGTATATGTGTATGTATATATACATATATATATATATATATATATATTTGGAGAGAGAGAGAGAGAGCGAGAGAGAGAGCGGGCGGGAGGGAGGAGAGTAAATTAAATTATGGAAAATACAAAACACTAAAAAGACAAACATAAAGTCCCTCTATTACCAAAACTCAGATAATACTTCTAACTTCTACATAATTGCTTTTATTTATGAATTTTAAAATTGTTACTATAGTGTCTAAAAGATTACTACCTGTGTGTGTGTACACATATATATTTTTAATATATACTGTATATACTTTTAATAAAATACTATATTGTCATTGGACACTATATTTCCAAATAATTCATAATGCATTTATATTGCTACACCCTATGATTAAAGAATATATATGTGAAAACACATACAGGTAGTAATCCTTTACATGCTGTAAAACACTTTTAAAATTCATAAATAAAAACAATTAAGTAGTAGTGATTATCTGAGTTTTGGGAATAGAGGGACCTTATATTTGTCTTTTTAATGCTTTGTATTTTCTATAATTTTACAAAATATATTTGTTTTCTTTTCTTTTTTTTAATAATGGGTGGGGATGGAATCAAAGAATTTTCTCTAGTACTCTACTTGATCCATCTTTAACATTTCAGGATAGTAACTGATAGTACAGAGAATAAAAGAGTGATAGAAAGTTTACTCCACATATCTCACCAAATCTGTATCTAGATTAAGAGAAGAGTCATTGATATATAAAGAGCAGAGCCTTTTAACTAACTAGATAGCTATAATTCTATTTTATGGAGGAGGAAGTCTTTCAGATAAATTGCTTTGTAACTGATTCTTTCTTTGACAAAATAGGAACCTAGTGCACCTACACCTTGCTGTTTTTCTCCCCCTTGCAAAAGAGTATGACCTTCAGTAGATTAACTGAAAGAAGCCAAAAAGATAAAGACAGTGAGATATTGGGAGGTCAGTTGGCTGCAAACCTTAACAATTTATCATAGGAAGTTTTCATTTGATCTTAATGCCACTACATTGATTTCAGCCCTAGCTTTCTCTTTTTCTAACCACTCCTTTTGCCAAGGCTCTCCATTTCTTCATGGTTTAAATTCCCCTCATAACCATCTAAAATTAAATGGAGTTGTTTTCAGCAATTCAGCTATCTACTTTTGTGGATATTTCTCTGCAGAAAAAGAAAGAAGAGAAACCATAAAACCATTTTTCCCACCTAACATTCTGAATTTTATCATTAATAGAATTTTTGTAATAGGAGATCAGTTGTTGTGGCCCTTAGCCTTTCAACATTACCACAAACCTGTCCAATTAATTTAGCAACTCAAATTTTATCTACTAAAAGCTATGGGGCTTATTTAAAGACTGAATTTTGACACCAGAAAGCCACCGTTCATTCAATCTGCAAATATGTTTTGACAACTATGCTGTGTTCCAGGTGCTAAATAAGCAATGGTAAACAAAACAGATATGGTACGCATCCTAAAAGCTTATAATTTGCATGTAGGTGGGCAAACTTTAAATATATAATTTATAAACTAAATGAGTTCCAAAAGTTGAAATAACTAGGATAAGCAGAAAAAGACTATTTCAGGCAAAAGAAACAGTATGTGAAAAGAACTCAAGAATAAAAAAGGCATTATAGTGGAAATAAAAGAAAGGGAAGGGAATAGTGGCACAACACAAGCTAGTAGAAGTAAGCAGGGACCAGGTTATCTGAAGGATCTTAAAGCTTGTGAAACTATAAATAGATTTTCCCATTGAAAATGGGGAGTTAGCTAGGCAGGCAAATGCTAAAAGCTGTACAGATGCATAGATCAAGTGTTTGTGTGGGGGCGTGGTGGTTGTTGTTGTTTGTTTTTTGTTTTTTGTTTTTTGAGAAGCTCTTTCACCCAGGCTGGAGTACACTGGCGCGATCTCAGCTCTGCAACCTCTGCCTCCCAGGTCCAAGCGATTCTTCTGCCTTACTATCCTGAGTAGCTGGGATTATAGGCACCCACCACCTCACCTGGCATTTTTAGTAGAGATGGGGTTTCACCATGTTGGCCAGACTGGTTTCTAACTCCTGACCTCAAGTGATCTGCCTGCCTTAACCTCCCAAAGTGCTGGGATTACAGGCATCAGCCACCACATAGATCAGTTTTTAACATGTGTTTGTGAGAGAGAGAGAGACAGACACTCATAGGGGTTGTACTTTTTGTTTTCCACCTGAGATGTTAGACTAATATGACTTCTCCAGAGGAGGTGAAGATTAAGGCAGGGAAGGAGAAAGAACGCAATCTAAACTTGCAGAATCTAATAATTCAAAAATTATTAAGATAGCAGCTGGGGTCAAGGGGCCTCAGGAGGCTTGCACAGCAGTAATACATTACAATTGTTTTTCCAGTGTCTGTATTTGTACAGTCTTAAATTTCTGCTTCTGTACTATTTGGGAAAGGAAATTGAAGAGTTTTAGGAAGCATTTTGCATTTAGGAGGGGTGGCAAGGACAGGATGTTTGCAGTTTGCTCCCATGAGCCAAGAATTTTGTTGTTGTTGGGCCTTGTTTAGTGTTTTTTGACAAAGTAAAGTTGAGTCTTTCTTTTTTGAGTTTGAAAGTAGCCATATTTGATGAATTACTAGAATTCTGGCAATCTGTGGCCATTTTTAAAGCAATTAAAGTATCACAAGATAGGTGTACTTTATTTATAATACTTCTTTAGTATACCAAAATATAGATGGCCTGAGAGTGTAATAAGGAAGTCAGATCACCTTGCTGCCTTTTTCCACAAGTGTTTTTCATCTGAACCACAAAACATAGAAAAATATTTCAGTAACTTTTATCTCAATTTCCCCAAAAATGGTACTTAGGTAATTATATTCTAGACACATATGAAAGAAGGCAGTTACTTATATACATTGGTTGCCTTAAAGCATTAGAGCCTAATTCTCATCCTTAACCCTCATAGAGAAAGCTTCTAGGGTATCCAAAGAGCATTTACTAATATGTTCATTCTACAATTAAAGTGCTTTTTCTGTAATGATGTAAATTCTTAGAAATGTACCGAAGACATTTTCATGTGAGATTTTCAGAATCATTATTTATATTGTCTGTTTCTCCTGAAAAATAGTTCATTCATTAAGTATTCACTAATACTGCAACTGAAGTGGTAAAGGAATTCCTGTGACTTTACAAAGCCCTTTGAAAGAGTTTCAGGTCGGGCGCGGTGGCTCAAGCCTGTAATCCCAGCACTTTGGGAGGCTGAGGCGGGTGGATCACGAGGTCAAGAGATTGAGACCATCCTGCTCAACATGGTGAAACCCCGTCTCTACTAAAAATACAAAAAAATTAGCTGGGCATGGTGGTGCATGCCTGTAATCCCAGCTACTCAGGAGGCTGAGGCAGGAGAATTGCCTAAACCCAGGAGGCGGAGGTTGCGGTGAGCCAAGATCGTGCCATTGCACTCCAGCCTGGGTAACAAGAGCGAAACTTCGTCTCAAAAAAAAAAAAAAAGAAAGAGTTTCAAATTTAGTATGTAAATCAAAAGTGGTTTGAGTAAATACCTAACTCAGATACTAACAGCATCAATACTTTCCTTGGATTCTAGCAACAAAAATCAGAGCAGATAAAGAAAGAAGTGTTTCATTATAATAGATAGTAGACTTTTCTTTTACTGGCATTTTAAGGTGTTAGGGAAAGTGTAGCAAAAAATATATAGTTCATCAAAATTCTAATTTTACTGACATAACATTGTAACTTTTCATTTGTGATGAAGACAAACTGTAAACTTGATTTTTTTCTTCTTTTTTTGTTTTTTGTTTATTTGTTTGTTTTTCAGATAGCATCTTGCTCTATCACCCAGGCTGGAGTGCAGTGGCACAGTCTTGGCTCACTGCAACCTCTGCCTCCCAGGTTAAAGCGATTCTCCTGCCTCAGATTCCTGAGTAGCTGGGATTACAGGGATGCACCACCACGCCCACCTAATTTTTGTATTTTTAGTAGAGATAGGGTTTCACCATGTTGGTCAGACTGGTCTCAAACTCCTGACCTCATGATCCACCTGCCTCAGCCTCCCAAAGTGCTAGGATTACAGGCGTGAGTCACCGCGCCTGGCCAAACTTGATTTCTTACATAGATTTCTCATCCAAACATTTCTGTGCCTCAGACAACACAATGAATGATTCCTTTTGTATATATCATTTTCTATGTATCATAGTATAGTACCTATGAGGGAAAAACAAAAAAATACATTTTCATTTTATTCTTTAGATCAGTACAATGGAACATGAATTTTCAATAAAGGAACATGGGTTTGAAGTTCAATTAAGAGAGATGGAAGACAGCAATAGAAATTCTGTTGTTGAACTGAGGCATCTCCTAGCGACTCAACAGAAGGTGGCCAATAGGTGGAAAGAAGAAACGAAGAAACTTACTGAAAGTGCAGAAATGAGAATCAATAATCTGAAGTAAGTCTACTATTAGTTTTTTGACATGGTTTTTCAGAAGAAATTATTTAACCTATAGTTGAATGTCCTTGCCATGATCTTTTGTAAAAAATGCATTATATTGGACCTTATCTTTGTATACAGTAAACTACTATAAAAATGTCATAAAACAAAACAAATATATTTTTTCTAATTTCATGCATATTTCATAAAATGTAATAATTTTTGTTGGATATATTAGTTTAGATAGTTGCAACAAAATCTATTGGGTCTGCAAAGCCTGAAATATTTGTTCTCTGGCCCTTGAGAAAAAGTTCTCTGACCCTTCCTCAGAAAGAACTTGAGATTTTGTGCTGAATGAGATGAGAAGCTCAAGACCTTCAAGATAGGAGTGAGATCAGAGGGCTTTGAGCAAAGTGATGTGATCAGACTTAAATATTCAACAGATGATTTTGATCACTGTATGAAATAGACTATAGTAAACCTAAAACTACTCTAAAACATAAAGCCTATTAAAAAAAGAATAGACTGTAAAGAGGTAAGGTGTTTAAGTCAGGATATTATTAACTAGTCAACTATGTATATAAGTTGATATTCAGGGGAGAGATTACAACAAGAGTATAAACTTGTGAATCACTAACATACACATGATTTTTAAAGTCATGGAATGAGAACATGTTGAAAAAGAGGGTAGAGAGATGAAACTGTTTGAAGACTGAGTTTCAAAATGTAAAGCTTAGGGAAATCACTCCACTGAGAAAGACTGAGAAAGCATATCCAGAGAAATAGAAAATAAAGACAAAATAGTTAAAAAATAAAAATTTAGAAAAGGAATAAGCAATAATGGGTGACATATATTGAACACTAAATGTGTACATTTTTCTAAGCAATTTACATATACTTAATCTTTACAGCAACCCTACAAAGTATATAACATTATTAATTATGTTTGACAGATGGCCAAACTGAGGCCAAAGGAAGTTAAGGAACTTGTACAAGATCACATAGATAATGAATAAACAGATCTAGGTTTCATATTCAGTTTGGTTAAAGACAATATGCTCTTAACCACTATGTTTTATAAGAATTTGTTATTAATTGGCTGAGTAAGATAAGGACTGAGAATGGACCTTCTAATTTGGTACCATGTGGTGACTTTGTTCATCATGGTAAGAGGAGTTTTGGTGGAATGTTAGAATGAAATATATTTGAAGTGAAAGAGTTAGTGGTGAACTAGGCAATTTGAACCAACCCTCCACCACAAGTAAAAAAGTTGAATTATACAAAGCATCTACAAAGAGCACTAAAGAACTAACCAAAAAAAAAAAAAATCACTACCAGTTAGACTGTGCCAGGGATGCAAAGCTGGAATAACATTAGAAAATCAATTAATATAATTTACAATACTAACTTATTAAAAGAGAAAAATCATAAGGTCTTTTCAATAGATACAGAAAAAGCATTTGATACCAATATTCCTTCATGGTTATGTTTTGAAAAATATTCCTTAAAAAACTAGGAAAAAAATTCCCTTAATTTTCTAAAGGCATCTATTCTATAGCAAACATTGTTCTTAATGACAAAAAATAATGTCAATAACGTTCTTTTGAAGACTGAGAAGATGTTAAAGAAGTTGACTATTACCATTTCTATGGATCTTTGTACTGGAATCCTAATCAGTGCACTGTGGCAAGAAAAAGAAATAAAAGGTTGACAAAATGGAAAGGAGAAAAGAAAACAGTCATTCTTTACAGACATGTAAAAAGTTGTAATGAATTGAATATGTAAAAAGTCCAAAATAATTGATAGACAAATTATTAAGTGAATATAGAAAAAGCACTTGTATATCTACATATCAGTAACAAACATTTGAAAAATAAAACTTTTAAAATAGTATGATTTATAATCACATCAGAAAACATCAAATACCTAGCAACAAATCTGACAAACAATATGTAAGACTGTTGTTTGAAAACTATAATATTAAGAGTAATTAAAGTCTAAATAAAGGCAGAGACCATGTTTATTAATTGAAATGCTATTATAATTATGTTTTTTCTCCCCCACCAATCTACCCATAGATTCAATGTAATCCAGTTAGAATGCTAGCCATGAAACAGTATCTGAAGTATATTAAGTTAAAAAACAGTAATATAACAGTATGTATGGTATTATACTCTTTAGCTAACAGTGAGGAGTATATGTGCCTGTGTTCATACATATACATGTATGTAAATCAACATATGTACACACACAGTCATACACACCCATACACACATTTGTGTTTTTAAAAATGAAGAGGAGGCCGGGCATGGTGGCTCACACCCATAATCCCAGCACTTTGTGAGGCTGAGGCAGGTAGATCACCTGAGGTCGGAAGTTCGAGGGGAGTCCGGCCAACATGGTGAAACTCCGTCTCTACTAAAAATACAAAATTAGCTGGTCGTGGTGGCGCATGCATATAATCCAGCCACTTGGGAGGCTGACGCAGAAGAATCACTTGATCCCGGGAGGCGGAAGTTGCGGTGAGCCAAGATCATGCCATTGTACTCAAACCCGGACAACAAGAGTGAAACTCTGTCTCAAAAAAGGAAAAAAAAAATGAAGATGTAAGCCAAAAAATAATTCAGAAGTAAGCTATGAGAAGAGGAGGGGACAGAATAAAGGCCAGACTTCTTTGAATGAACCTTGTTTTACAGATTTTTAAGATTAATTTTGGAACCAAATGTTTATATAATTATTTTTCAAATTAAATCAAAATTTGAAAAGCAATATCCAGAAATCAAAAGTAAAATTTAACAAATTAACTTAGTTATATAAGCAGTTGATGGCTTAACTACATAGATGAATTATTTCAAGGGACATTAAATACAGTAATTAAACTATGTGGGATAAAACCTAAGGATAAAAGGAAATGCAAAAAATCATAAACTGTTTTTAATAGTCATATTTTTAGAAATAATATTTGTGGTGATGTTCTGAAACTTATATGATAAGGCAGTTGAGTTATTATAAAAGTCTTTAGGAACCAAATTTTCAATCATAAAAGAGAAGAAACTCAAAGAAATTGAATAAACTTGTCGTTCTAAAGTGGAATTGGAAATATGAGTTTATGAACTCAAGATATATTTTACTCTTTAAAAACGTGTATTCCCTAGTTTAGTCCTTTCAGTAAACGGTAAAAACAAGACCAGTATTCAACTGCAATGAGGTCTTCTAAAAAAAACTAGGACTCTTTGGAAAAATGATTGATTACAGATTTGAGACAGGAGAGTACAAGATAAGCCTAGAAAATACTTTCTCATTATAAATAGCAAAGAGAAAGTATTGAGATAAATGACACATGGACCAACTTAAGGTAGCTCCCCCTTGCCCATGTGGGTACAATCTGGATGTCAAAAAGAATACGTGCAATAAATTGAAACATATCAAACATATTTTTTAAATCTATGCCTTCAAAATGTTTTTTTGTTGTTTCATTTTTGTTTTGTTCTTGTTTGTTTTGTTTTGTTTTGTTTTGTTTTGTTTTGTGACAGGGTTTCACCATGTTGGTCAGGCGGGTCTCAAAATCCTGACCTCAGGTGATCCACCTGCCTCGGCCTCCCAAAGTGCTGGGATTACAGGTGTGAGCCACCGTGCCTGGCCCAAAATGGTTTTAAATAAAGAAAAAAAAAGTCTTTGGTCACCATTGGAAGATGCTTTAGAATCAACTCATTCTAGAAGAAAAAAAAAATGAATAAAAGGAAAAATAAAGTATTTATTCTACCTTTCCTTTAGTCACTATATATTATCAAATGCCATTTGGTGTTTTGTACCATAATAGCCTCAAACTTTGTTTCTCTTTTTTCTTTTCTTTTCTATTCTTTCTTTTTTTCTTTCTTTTCTTTTTTTTTTTTAACAGCCACCCAGTGCTAGGGCTTTATTTAACAACACATTCGTGTCAACAAGCTGACCTAGAGCCCATATACGTGGGACCCAGTCAGCCTACGGTGCCCTAGGACCCACCCTGTGCCCAAACAGGCCACGGGCCTCCTGGGAAGATGTCGGCTTCTTGGGATCACTTCCACTTTTTCTCAGAGCCCCTGTGAAAGGAGCCCTCTAACCATCTGCTTCCTTTGGAAACCTGGACTCTGGCTGGGTCAGGGTGGATTTCTAGTTGTTCATCTTCTTTTGTTTCTGTTTAAGCTTGTTCCAGATCCTTTCCAGGGCCACTTTTCCCATGCAGAAGGTGATAGCAAAGTTGTGCTTGTACCAGTCTCTGTAATAATACATGTGCTTCTGAAAATTTTTACTTAAAAATTCCTTGTAAAAGTCCACCATTTCTTCTGCATTCAATGTTGTTTTCTGACCCAATTCAGTTCTCAGGGCCAGGCCTTTAGTTTTTAGTCTTGAGTAAATAAATTCTTCTTTTTCCTTACTAAAAGTCAAATTCTGGTTTGCCCAGAACTGTTGATTCCATTCTTGTGTTTCTTGTCTTAATTTTCTAAGCTTTTGTTCCAATAGTGATTCATTTTCAGGTATGTAAAAGTGAACAAGTCAAAGGTTTGAATATTTATCTGGGGGTCCTATCCAATCATGGCAAGACTTTCTTGGAGGACAGAATCTTGAGACTCCACTGGGAGCCGCTCTTGGGGGCGAGCTGACAACTGTGACAGGCAAAGATACTGCAGAGAGGAGGGAGAAGGGTCTTCCCTGCCTGCAAGGCCACCATGGCCCCACGCCCCCTCAAACTTTGTTTTTCTTTCTCAAGATTGGTCTTTTGGGGTTTATTTGTGGTTTCATACATATATTAGGATAATCTTTTCCATTTCTGTGAAAAATGTCATTGGAATTTTGATAGGAATTGCAGTGAATCTGTAGATTACTTTGAATAGTATTGATGTTTTGACAATATTAATTTCTTCAGTTCATGAATACAAGATAGCTTTCCAATTGTCTCTTTTTAAATTTTTTTTATCAGTTTTTGGTGGTTTTCAGTATAGAGATTTTTCACCTTCTTCGTTGAATTTATTCCTAGGCATTTTATTGTTTTAGTAGCTATTATAAATGGAATTGTTTTCTTGATTTCTTTTTCAGATAGATTGCTGTTGGTGTATAAAAGTGCTACTGATTTTTGTGTGTTGATTTTGTAATCTGCAATTTTACTGCATTTGTTTATTCTGGCATTTTTTATGAGGTCTTTAGGATTTTCTATAAATAAGATCATTTCATTTGCAAGCAGGAACAATTTAACATCTTCCTTTCCAATTTGATGCCTTTTATTTGTCTTGCCTAATTTCTGTGGGTAGGACTTTCAGTAGCATATGGAATAGAAGTGTTAAAAATGGGCATCCTTGTCATGTTTTTGATCTTTAGAGGAAATAATTTTAATTTTTCACCATTAAGTATGTTAGCTGTGGATTTGTCATATGTAACCTTTGTTGTGTTGAGGTAGATCCCTGTTTTGAGTAGGAAATTATTTTTTTTAAGAAAAATTTAAGAATGACCTCAAAAATTATAGATATTTTAGATTTTAACTTAGGTTTTATACATGTATATTTTAATATATAAGGTTAAATATATTTAACCAATAAACACTTTAATTAATGCCATAAATATCTTATAAATTCAATTTTTATTACTAAATCTTATTTTAAATGCTCTGTGGTTTACACTTTCTTTTTTAAAAACCTATAATGTAGGTACTCGAGAAAGGACATTTCTTTCAGTTTTGTTTTTAATTACAGACAAATCTATGATTGTCATGAATTATTTCTCCTCCAGAACATAAACTGAGGCAGAAATCTGGCATGGGCACAAATGTGGGTGTTCCTACATGTAGCACATGCTAAATATTAAAACAGAGTAACAAAGTAGAGATAAGAAAGAAAAGGACTTGAATTAGAGGAAGATGGACAACATATCAGTGATACTAAACCAGATGGGCTATAACTGTTTAAAAAGGGGGATAGAAATATAATAGATTTTAGGAATAAACATAATTATCTGGCTTGAGAGTTTAAGGTAAGAAATAAGCTACAGAAGAAAAGATTCAAAGCTCAGCAGTGAATAACAATTTTGTAGGAATATATTTACTGGAACATAAATTTGTAACCAAGAATTAATCATAAATGGAATCTTTAATGATTTCTGGTTAAATTTCTATAATTGGCTGGGCACACTGGCTAACACCAAAAATCCCAACACTTTGGGAAGCCAAAGCGGGTGGGTTGCCTGAGGTCAAGAGTTTGCAGCCAGCCTGACTAACATGGTGAAACCCCATCTCTACTAAATACAAAGAAATTAGCCGGCCATGGTGGTGCATCCCTGCAATCCGAGCTACTTGGAAGGCTGAGAAAGGAGAATCGCTTGTACCTGTGAGGCAGAGGTTGTAGTGAGTCAAGACTGCCTCATTGCACTCCAGTCTGGGCCACAAAAGCAAAACTCCACCTCAAAAAAAAAAAAAATCTGTAATAGCAAATGTTTATGTAATGAAATATATCAGCATTTGTTGGTTTTTAAGAGGCAACAAATCTTGACAATAAAAGATAGTTGAATGCTGAACTCTAAGAAAGAAATATTACAAAAGGGAGTTCCTTTTTAGTCATGTTATGGAATTACTATTCCACAGAGATTATTCTCATTTGCTCTTCGCTTCTTAGTACTTTAATTATCAGCTTTATTGCTGAATTACTAATTTCTTTTTTCTGAAGCTCTCAATTTTACCCCTTTGAGAAAAAAAAAAAATTGCCATTTCTGACACTCCAAAAACCTGCTGCCTTAGTTTCTCTTTTGCTCTCTCTCCCCACCACTCAGTTCTTCCTTCCCTTATTGGCTTTTAGATGCCTATGCCTGTATTTAAAATGAAATTAGTTTCTCTTTCTCTCTTCCTCTTGTTCCCTACACTTTATTACCAAGCTTATTTTATCCAGATGTTTAAATAATTTTACTTTCTATCTTTATGTACTCACAAGCTTCAAAGAGACCAAGGCTTTCTGATCTTATCAAATTCTTTTTTTAAAGGCAGTCATTCTTATGCTATTAATTATCTGTTGAATTCGTCACTGCGCCCTCCTGCAGCTCTACGTCTTACCTGATGTTTGTCCTCATTTTGTAACTGTCCATAGAACATTTACCATATGTCTTGTTATTATCTTAGTTTCTATATTTCAAAACTCCTGTTACATCTTCCAAATCGATTTCTTCCTTAACAGTCTTTCTTCATTGATACCACTATTCCCCTAATTCCTTAATATAAAACCTTATAGCTATCTTTGACCCATTCTTTGTCTTTATCTTCTTTCAGTAACCAAGTACTATTGATTCTTCTTTGGAAATGCCTTTGTCATTTTATTCCCACTTCCATGACTCTAGAATTGCATTAGTTACCTATTTCTATGTAACAAATTACTCCAACATTTAGTTCTTAAAAACAACATTTACTATTTCATAATTTAATGAGTCAAGAATTTACTCATGAAGTAATTGAAAGTGGCTTATCTGGGTGAACCTGTCTCAAGGTCTTTCATAAAGTAGCAATCAAAATGCCATTTGAAGACTTAATGGGTGCTGGAAGATATGCTTCCAAGCTCATTTACACCTCTGTGGATAGAAGGCCTAAGTTCCTGTTTATGGCCAGACACCTCACTTCCTAGGCCTTGGCCTTTCCACAGAGAAGCTTAATATCCTCACAACTCTGCAGCTGTCTTCCCCCAGAGCAAATAATTCAAGAGAAAGCAAGAAGGCATAATACTTTTTGTGACCTAGTCTCCTAAGTCACATTTTTCTATTCATTAGAAGGTGAGTTTCTATATCCAGACCATTTTAACAGTAAGGGACTTTAGGGCCTACCTTCTGAAGACATGAATCTCTAAGAATTTGTGGACATGTTTTATAACCACCATATGACCAAATCTGCATATTTTATTTGTGTAAATATTTGCTTATATTGTCCTCTCAACTCATCTTTGCATCTAAATTCCTTAATCTGGAACTTCTCAACCTCTAAAACAATGAGAAGTATATTTCCCTTTTTAACCTCCCAGTTTATGGTATTTTGTTATTAACACCATGAATGGACAAAGATGACAACACAGGATAGATACAAGTCACCTTCTGTTTTTTCATGTGGTAGCCATTCTTCCCTGAAACATTTAATGATAAGACTCTCCTTTCCTTGCTATTATACTTTGCACTGCCCCTTTTGTCATAATTTGTGTTCATATATCCATGGATCGGTTTCTGACCTCTCTTTGTTTGCTTATCCTGGTGTCAGTACCACACTGCCTTTATCATACCTTTGTAAAGACACTTTTGAAAACAACTACAAGATTAGAAAAGTGACCTGATACTTAATTACAGCCATTTCTCTTACTTTGTTTCTTTTCGCAAAAATGTTTTTATTCTTGGTTCTGGGCATTTCTGTATTTATATCAGAATTGTATGTCAAGTTCCTTAAACAAATTTGATGGGATTTTAATTTGAATTCTATCGACTCTATAAATAAGTTTAGAACAAGTAAACAAAATAAGTTTAGAATAATTAAAATTTTTATGATATTAAGTCTTTCAACCTATGGACATTAAATATCTCTGCATTTGTTTAGGTCTTCTTTAATGTCTCAATACAGTTAATTTTCATATAGAAATCTTATACTTTTGTCAAATTTATTTCAATTTCATCTTCTCATCATTGCTTATATTCAGAAATACAAAAGCTTTTTGTTGTTGATGATATTTTCTTTAACCAGTGACCTTACATAGGATAAAAGCTGTAGAATCTTTTGGATTTTGATCATATTATCCATCAATATAACAGTTTTATTTTTTTCAAATTCCTATATGTTTTGTTTCTCTTTCTTGATAATTGCAGTAGCTAGGATTTCCAATGCAATACACAGAGTAGGGATAGGATTCTTATTCTTGTTCCCAATCTTTAAAGTTTTCAGTTTTCATCATTTCATATAATATTTTCTATGTTGAGTGATAACATCTATCAGATTCAAGAAGTTTCCTTTTATTATTACTTTACTAAGATCTTTTATCACAAATTTTTCTTTTCTTTTTTTTGAGACAAAGTTTCTCTCTTGTTGCTCAGGCTGGAGTGCAGTGGCACGATCTTGGCTCACTGCAACCACTGCATCCTGGGTTCAAGCAATTCTCCTGCCTCAGCCTCCCAAGTGGCTGGCATTACAGGCATGTGCCACCACACCTAGCTAATTTTTGTATTTTTAGTAGAGACAGGGTTTCACCATGTTAGTCAGGCTGGTCTCAAACTCTGACCTCAGGTGATCCACCCACCTCAGCCTCCCAAAGTGCTAGGATTATAGGCGTGAGCCCCCATGCTAGGCCTCCAAATATTCAATTTTATTAAAGCTTTTTCTGCATTGTTTGGAATGATTATTTGAATTTTTTCTCTTTAATTTGTTAATGGGATAAATTTTAAGGATTGATTTTGCTAATGTACCAAATTTTCATTCTTCTGACAAAACCAACATGATTGTAATGCATTCTTATATATATTTCAGGATTTGGTTTGTTAGAGTTTTATTTAACATATTTTTATCTATGCTCCTGAGAGAGATTGACCTGAAATCTTTTCTTGAAGTTATATCAAAGTTATGCTAGTCTCAAAAACAAATTGGAGAGTAGCGCTTGTTTTTCTGTAATCTCATATATTAGTATTAAAAGTTTTTATACCTTGAATGTTTGATAGAATTCTCCAGTGAAATCTCATGGCCTG